AGTATAAAATGACGAATCTCAGTTTGTTATGCAATTGATTCAGCGTGTAGAATTGACATGCAAGAAGCTTCATCTCTTATGAGACCAACGACATGAATTTTAGGTCCATTTTTGTTACCTACCTCCTCTAGAGGCGTAAACAACATAACTAATCTTGTAATAGTTACCGAAATGATTAAATAATAATTATCAAAGCGATACATTTTTTAATTCATCCAATCAAGAACTAATGTATTGTAAAAAAAAACAAATAAAAATAATTTTTTTATCAAAAGGTTTTCTAGTTTACTATTGTGAGAATTATACAGTATCAGCTTGTTTTATTGTACCTTACAGTGATAGTGCTTTTAAGTAAAAAATTGAGCTCTCTTGTGATACATCCTCTTCATATAGAATGATTATAGACATCCTGTTTGTGGAAAGTATGGTCAGTATTTTTTTTATGTTTTGTATTGAAATTGTATGCCCTGTTGCAAGAAATAAATGCTAATATGTAAATTATACCGAAGAAGCAGGAGAAGTTTTTCTTAGGTTAACATTTTGTCGTTGGTTCAAACATTCATCTGCCGTATGAACACACATATTCAGTTGTTAAAATTAACAGTAAATTATGACATACCAAAAAATTACAGCATTTAGTCAGTTGAACATGTATAAAAAAACGAGCAATCAAATTTAATAAGTTTCATAGGCGTCCCTAAAAAAGTTTTCTGCCAAAGTTAAAAAATTATAATAATTTGTATATAATGTGTAGAAAATCTCTATTACATGTTCATTTGACCAACAACATATTTTAATTATTTATGTTCTCAAACAATTTTATTATATTGATGGTAAATTTCGTTTTGTTCCGTTTCAAAAGGTTTCCAAAATGCCATATTGTAATAATATGAGTAAACCAAATATTCCTCTTATTTTTCCCTTTCGCAATTGTAATATGAATGATTAATAGAAGGGTGCCTATAATAAATTAAAATTATCTGAATAACACCGAATTCCGCATTGCTGCACTGTACTGCCAGACAACTTGTCGACAACTGAAATTTATGACGTAGTGGACCAGAACAACCGTGCGTATTGCCGTTTGCCCGCACGCTCATTCTTCACCTGGGCGTATACAGTTCTACCACCTGCACTTCGTTCGACCAGACCTGTATATATTATCTATCTCTATTATATGTTCATTTGACCAACTACATATTTTAATTATTTAAGTCCTCAAACAATTTTATTATATTGGTGGTAAATTTTGTTTTGTTCCTTTTCAAAAGGTCTCCAAAGTGCCATATTGTGATAATATTAGTAAACAAAATATCCCTCTTATTTCTCCCTTTCGCAATTGTAATATGAATGATTGATAGAAGGTGCCTCTAATAAATGAAAATTACCTGAATCACACCAAATTCTGCATTGCTGCACTGCACTGCTGGGCAATTTATCAACCACTTGTCAACTGCTGAGATTTATTGCCGAGTAGCCCAATGCAACTGTGTTTGTTTTCCGTTGCCCGCGCTCGCATTCTTCAACTGGGCGTATACATTTCTACCACCTCCACGTTTAATTCGACTAGACCTATATATGGGTGTGGCTAAATAAAAATGGGAAGTTTTTCAAATATTTCAATGCCGAGTTGCTCCGTCAGTGACCAATTGATATCGGAAAGACTTTACTAGTAAGGCGTTTTATAATGGTTACGTGAAAAAAAAATACGCAAAAGGAGACCAGAGTTGTGGCGACACAACTTATGGTTCTTGCACCATGACAATGCGCCCGCATACTCAGCTTTGTCAATTCGTCAGTTTGGTGCCAAACATTAGATTACTGGCCTCTCTCACCCTCCTCATTCGTCAGACCTGGCTCCATGCGATTTTTTCTTATTTCCGATATTCAAATCAGGTTGAAAGAACGCCGTTTTCAGACTATAAATAACATCAAGGGAAATTCGTCACAGACTTTAAAGGCCGTTTTAAATGACGCTGTCCGGAACTATTTCGCTAAATGGAAACACCGCTGAGAAAAGTGTATGAATAGAGAAGGGGAGTCTTTGAAGGAGACAAGGACCAATAATGTATAAAATTAATAATAAAGTTTAAAAATTTAAAGTTCGGTTATTTTCTGAATAGACCTCGTATACTTCTAACTAAAGCTCGCCGTGTTATAGTCTTTCCGATATGAATTGAAGAACCAAGAGGATGACAGTATGTACCAAGTTCGGTGGCTGACGCAGCAACTCGGCATTGAAATATTTGAAAAACTAGGTCTGGTCGAACTAAACATGCAGGTGGTAGAAATCTATACGCACAGTTGAAGAATGGGCTTGCCGGTAAAGGATGTTACGCACTGTTGCTCAGGTCGACTGCATCATAAATTTCAGTTGTCGACAAGTCGCCTGGCAGTGCAGTGCACAAAGCGGAATTTGGTGTGATTCAAGTAATTTTAATTTAATATATGCACCTTCTATTAATCATTCATATTACAATTGCGAAAGGGAGAAACAAGAGGGATATTTGGTTTACTAATATTATTACAACATGGCATTTTGGAGACCTTTTGAAACGGAACTGACGAAATTTACCATCAATGTAATAAAATTGTTTGAGGACATAAATAATTAAAATATGTTGTTGGTCAAATGAACATAGGTATAATAGAAATTTTCTACACATTATATATAAATTATTATAATTTATTACTTTAGCAGAAAACTTTTTATGGATGCCTATGAAACTCATTAAATTTTATTGCTCGGCTTTTTTATACATGTTCAATTGACTTCGGAAAGGCTATACATGTGTACACGTTACGAATCACGAAATCGAACGAAATTTTTTATGCGATCTAGTGTCGAACAGTCACATAAACAAATTTGATGACAGAATTTCTTCAGCTCCTACTTTTTAGTTACTGAACTAAGATGATAAATTGGTTGCCTTGCTAATAGCAAAGTTCCAAAAACAATATGTTAGTACATCGCATCGTGACAAAAGGGATTAACAAAATACAAAGCAAGTAAATTGACGGATGGAACTGTAGAAATAAATGAGTTAAATGAAATTAGTAATATAATATAATTAATATAAATTATGTGGGTTGGTTGTTATGTGCAGTATTTCTTGGCATACACCTCCATCCTTGATGCGTACTTTTTAATAATGACTGCCAAAACTCTAAATTAAATTAATTACATTCATTCTATATTCGGTGGGTAGTATTTCTTTGAGGCTACTTTTAAATTAATGAACGTAGAACAAAAGTAATAATGTGGTGTTAAATTTTCTCAGATTCAGTATTAGATTACTTAGAAATTACGTCCAACTTTGTTTATGCCCTGTAATTGAGTTGCATCAAAAGTGCCGTGTTGCGGAATTGGAGCTTAAAGTCGATTACTGTTGATTCGGTCTTAATTGCGCAAGTAAAATGGGGTGGGTTGATGGAACTGTCTTGTTTTATTTAAATAAAAACCCGCAGCATAATTTAGATGTCTTGAAGCTGTGTAAATTTCGTATATAAAATATTCCCTGTAGTTGTGTTCAAATATTTCGAGCATGAGGTAGACTAAATAATCAATAATGGTAGCTATATCTATATTTGTTTCATAATCAAATAAAATTATTTATTCCAAATATGATATTTTCAAAATATACTCCTCTGTGCTGAATACAAATTACATGGGCCGACCCTTTCACTAAAAGTTGCGCAATATCCTGGCTGGATAAGAAGTGGAATATGTATTATACAGGGTGTATACAAAATGATATTTAAATAGTACATAAATCGAATTGCGACTCTATTGACAGACATTTATTTTTCAAATAAATTTTTTAATACTTATATGAAAAAATTTTTGCAATCGCTAACTCTGCAGACAACTTTGCCTCTGTTTACGAGTGTTGCTGCCTATTTCCAGCATTTCCATTTCCACATGTTATTGTCGCGTCAATTACTTTATTGTTGCTGTGTGGATTAGCTAACTTAATATGTTTACTTTACTGAAACTAAAGCAGAAATAATGGTTACATAAAACTGAACCGGAAATGTCTCTACTAGAAAAAACGAAACGGATAAGCTGATAACACCCTATTTAAGGTCACAAATACTCATCTTTTTAGTTTGTAACTGGGGGACGATTCCAGAGGTTCCCAAAAAGTTTGCACAATTTCTCTACCACTAAAAAATTTTTTCCAAGTTTGTAAACATGTTGGAATTAGTCTTTATTGATACAGATATGAAAATGGCATTCTGTAATTTATTTATGAGATTACTTTTGAGTATATAATGTTCTATAAAAGACATAAACCTGGTACGCTGCAAAAAACTGATCATACAAAATTTTTTGGTTTACATCTAGACGAAAATCTGATGATGTATCAAAATTAAACTTCTATCATCTATGATCTTACTGTTTGTATTTTAGTAAGCAGCATTATAACAAAATATTTATAAATGATGCGAAAATGAGATGTTTATTGTTGTAATACCTGTCCTCCAAACGATATTCATAGAAATAATTTAAATCTGTCTTTTTGAATAAAATTGGGGATAGTTTCCGAAGCAGTTTTTACAGTTTTACAGTTTGCTTAAAATCAATACATTACAAATTACATACTATGTTACTAAATAAAGCAAATATTGAAATAAAATAAATAAAGAATTAAATACTAAATTACAAATGTTTTTCTTTCGATCCGATTGTTACTATGTTACACTATTATAAAAAATATAAAAAGCTACGCCATTTTTTAATGCTTCCAAATTTTTTACATGTGTTTTAAAATATTCAAGTAATACTGAAAAATGTAATTTTTCCACGACACAATAAGTCTTTTCAGTTTCTCCAGTGACACCAACATGTGATTTTTTTTCTCTTGATAGTTCTTCAGTAAGCCTTTCGGTGGTAATTAAATTACTAGAAACAATATCTAACAGTTTTTTCAACATGCTTATAAAATTAATAATAATTTTTTTATATTGATTATTAAACAGCAATTTTTTCGTTTCAGCCAAGGCTGAGAAGCTGCAAAAGGAGCGCGAGGAAGGCAAACCAGAAAAGAAGCGGAAACGGACCAGTAGGAAAAAAGCTATTGGCCCAGCCAATTCAGCGGGGGAAGCGATAGAAAAGATTCTGCAAGAAAAGAAGATATCTTCGAAAATAAACTACGACGTACTGAAGAGTTTGAATGCGGCAACCTTGAAGAATGAGCCGTCAGTCGTGGAGGAAGAAACGGTTCCTACCACTTCGGAGGCTATAACGAGGTTAGTACTGACACTGTTCTAAGAAAATTCCTAAACTCTCATCAAATGCACCCATATAGACAATTACAAAAAAGTAGATGAGGCCATTAAACCGTATAGGTGAAAGTAAAAAAGATTTTTGTTAATAACTTTATTGTCTTCTGCCGAATATATTCTGTAAAAAAATAAAACGCAGACCTACCCAAATTTTTCCTGCGCACGCAAGTATATTGCTTTTTAAATTAATAATTTCTTTATTCTTTTTCCGCTCTTAGAAAATTTCAATTTATTGCAAGATTTACGACATATCATATATGCTTTTAGATATGTGATATTGATTCACCTTAGAATATCTTAAGCGACGAATTAAGCTTGACAAAAATGTCATTGGATGTATCAATTCTAAAATGTTTCTGCATAACTCAAATTATTATCATTGGAATAGGAATTTTTTAAAATTCCTTAGTTTCATTATTACCACCTAGACCTACATTTTTCTAAGTAGGCGGTGAAGTTAACAAAAATGGAAAGATAAATCAATAACTATGATGCGTAGTTCTATTTAGTTCTTATAATTTATGTTATAATTTAGGTTTCTATTTGTTTGAATCCGATCATCAATGTCTAGACCAAGTAATCTCACACTATCAGAATTTCTCGGAATAAGAAAATTATTTATTGTAATGTTAAGTGGGTCACAGTGTTTTTGCCTGATATGAAAACGTAATATGTAGTTTGATCTTATCGGGATTCAAATACAAAAAGTTTTGTGAAAACCACTCACCTATCCATAGTTAAATTTTTGTCTAATTTGTCAGATAAAATGATTGAAGTGTGCATAATAAAGTAAAATATGCTGTAGTAGACAGTCATTTATATACAACAAGAAAAAGATAGGAGCCAATAAAGAACCCTGTGCTACACCGAGTGTTATAGCAGCCCTAGGCCCACCCCAAGCAATAATTTAGCTTGAATATTTTGATAAAAAATTGGTATAGTACTACAGATAAGGCTCCATGGTTGGATGACAAAACCAATTTTTGTTACTATTTTTAACAATAGTGCTCTCATTTAGTTCGATAAAATAAACGATTTTCGAGATAAACCGGTTTTTGAAGTGAGCAGCAATAATGATAATTTTATTACAAATTGTTTCATAAATCGTACAAAATGAGAAAAAGATAAATATCACTTCTACAGGGTGTTTCAGGATTAAGTCGACAAACTTTAAGGAGATATTCCTCATAAAAAATAATAAAAAAATCAAGTACCTATAATTTTTTTTCCAGAGATGCTTCATTTTCGAAATACAGGGCGCTAAAGATTTTAAAAAAAATTCAAATTTTTTAAATAACTTCTAAATGAAGAAGGCTATTTAATCTAAATTTGGCATGATACATCTTACAAGATACCATTTTTCCATAGAAGTAGAAGTCCCGCAAGCAACCAGTGGCGGAGTTATGAGAACTCAGACTCTTTAAATTATAAAAAAAAATTAATACGGCCCTATTGAAAATAAAAATGATGCTGTTTTTAGATAGAACAGTTTGTTATTGACAAAAAGTGTACATTCACTTTTTTCCTAACTCTTATAGTTTCACGGCAAAATTGATTCTGTCGATAAACTTTAGGAAGACGTTCCTCATAAAACCTAAAAAAATGTAGTACCTATTAAAATTGGTCTTAGTCTCAAGTATGTGTGAGTCAATTAAGCCTTTTTGTCTCCCCTTCCCTTGAGTTTAACAAATAGTATTAAAATTATTTAGGAAATGCTTCGTATTTGAGATATAGGGTGTTTTTTTTTTTAGGAAAAAAAAGAAGTTGATGAAAACAATAGAAATATTTAAGCACCTAACATCTAATGTGACTATGTCGTAATGCGACAACGTAACGACCCTTGCAATACTCCTAAATTTTTTCAGGCAGTTTGTGGTCACTTCATTTACTTGTGTCGTGTACTTTTAAATAAAATAAGATGGCAAACAATACATGAAAATTTATTTGTAAATTGAAACAATCAAAAATTACCAATTAATATTATACCTAGACAAAGCGAAAAGTGAATAAAAAATGGGGTGCTGTTAAACAAAAAGTCTACGAGGTGCCAGTTGATACCCTAGCCCTAGAAGATCTAAGACAGCGAATAGTCCAAGCGTGTCGAGAATTAACTCCAATTCAATGTCGATCGGCCACTACCTCCATAATTAGAAGATGTCGTGCTTGTCTACAGTCCGGAGGCGCCCATTTTGAACAAAATATTTTTTAAATCATTTCAATTTTGATTCGCTTAATCCTGAAACTCCCTGCATAAGTGTTTTCTATTCTACGAATGTGTACAAGGTGCGCATGAAATAGGTACGCCTTCGCATGTTCAAATACGAGCAGTGGAGGTAACTATAAAGTACCAGAAATATTAATGATCTTTATTTTTACTCAATAATGTTTTTTCCTTTCAAATGTAAAGTAATGCTAATAATATTTTAGCAGTCGAAAGGTAAGCCGTACAAAAAATAATAAGAAAGATGTGGTACTATTGATTCGAGAGTCGTTTCCCTTATTGGGTCATTACATGGAAAAGCTTAATGTCAATCTTCTTAGAATCAGAAGGACCCCTTTTGAACAGATAATTGTGGGGATAGAAATCCTTCAGTGCGAATAAGAACAGAATGGAAAAATTGTTGTGATTTAGGGTTTGTTGCTTAGGAAATAATGATTTTCAACGTTTGAAGTTGAAAATTCCCGTCCTTGTTAGGGGTTCATGAATATTTCCGATTCCACATAAGGAATTTCTTGCACATTATTTGTCGAGCAGATATTCTGTTTCTATTCTATTCATTTTTAGTGTCTGATGTAATAACTCAATAAATATTGGGACTTGTTTTAAAGTACTTTATCTTTTGGAGTAAAGACGTGTATATTAGAACATATTAACGTGACAGGTATAAGTATCTTATAAATCACAACAGTTTCAGTTGGTTTAGAGGTAAAGGTCCTCTGATTCTTTGAGATCTGATTGTCTGTCTGTCTGTATGTCGGAGGATGGTGGAATTGTTTTTCCCACCGCGGCACTTAGGCCTTATTATGCCCCTTGTACACCCTCCTTCATTACTCGAGTACTTTTCTGATTGCACAGTTCTATAAAAAAGTTCTGTATCAGAAACATGGGTACATTGATTTTGTGTATTTTTTTTGTTGAATCCGAATTAGCAGCCTAAATTTTTACCAGGTTATTTTTTAGTAAAACGCTAAAATAGGGTAAAATAATGAGGATAAACTAAAGCTTTATCATGAAAAGCAACGATTTGTAAATACTTTGAGAAGACATTTTAAAATAATATTTTGAGCATTGGAAAGAAACTAAGTCCCATTATGAAAATTGCATTAATTACACAGGTCAACAAAAGTCAAGAAGAAGACACACTAATATGTATTCTCAAAGGATTTTGGTGCGCTGAATCTTAATCTGGTGGCAGAATTGCTCTATCACGTCAGGTTTTTGAGATATCCTAACCTAAAAGTGCAAAAAAACACCGTTTTTCGTCATATTTGAGGTTATGTAGTAATGCCCATCTATTCTTTTTTAAAAAAATACATATAATTTAAAAGTCTCCCTCGAATGCCGTTGAGTTTGCTCAAATATCTTTTTTTTTTTCGTTGAGATATCACATGTTGAAATTTCTAAGTTTATCAGTTTCTTAATATGCGAAAATCTACTAAGGATCTTTTAGACGTCAAACAGTTGATTGCAGTTCAGCAACTTCATACTCAGAAACCTTCAATACATACGAACTTAAACTCACAAACTCCAAATCCACAAACCCACAAACCCCAATCCCACAATCCCTAAACCCACAACCCCAATCCCACAAAACCCGAACCTGCAAACTCCAAGCTTATAAACCCTAAGCCCACCAATTCCAAACCTACAAACCGTATGGGTATGAAGTTTCTGAATTGCAATCGACTGCTTGATGTCTAAGGGATCCTTAGTAGATTTTCGCATATTATTAAGAAATTGAGAAACTTAAAACTTTCAACATGTGATATCTCAACGAAAAAAAAAGTATTTGAGCAAACTCAACGGCATTCGAAGGAGGGAGCCTTGTACTTTTAGATTCAATGTATTCGTTTTTTGAAAAAGAATAGATGGCATTACTACATAACCTCAAATATGACGAAAAACAGTGTTTTTTTGCACTTTTAGGTTAGGATATCTCAAAAACCTGACGTGATTCGGATTCGGCGCACCTAAATCCCCAAAATATATATTCAAGTTTCTGCTTCCAAAAAAAGTTAAATTTTGTTGGTCTGTGTTATCAACAATTGAAAAAAATGGCCATTTTCGACCATTTTTGAGCTCTCGCGCATAAACAAATTATCGTAATTTAATCGGACTTGTCTCATTTTACAGATTTATTTAATACCTACCTTTTGTGTATAAACCTTTTTTTCCTTATGAATAACAGTTTTTTTACGCGAGTCAAAAAACCACTTTTTCATAACTTTGACCATTGTTTAAATTAAGTTTCCCAACTAGTCTCGAGTTGATTTTTTGATATTTTGATTATACATTTCCGAACAATATTCCGCAGAGAAACTTCTAATAGTATTTTTTCCCGAAACAGGCTCTTTCATGTCTACAGGGTGTCCCAAAATTCATGCAACAAAATTTGGTCATAGATTCTTAAGACAAATTTAGGTGACCCGTATTTTTTCTTTTTGCCAGTGAGTTACAACCCCTTGAAATCTGCCCCTAATAAGTCTTTTTTATATCTCAAAACCATGTTGTACGAGAATCACTAAATTTAGTACACAGGGGTTTTATGACATGTGGAATCTCACAGTGCTACGCTTTTTGGCCAGAAACTCCCTTAAGACACTTTTTCGTGGGCCCCCTTGTCTTTGGAACCAGAAAAATTTTTTTAAAAATTATTAGTTAGCTAGAAAGCCATTGAATTTAGAAACTTTTTTGTCTCTTGATATTTGTTTCGTAAAACGCAATGTTTTTGAGGAAAATGGCG